AAAACAACATTGATTATAAATGTTATTTTAAGATTACATTATGCCACATGGAAGATGATTTTACTTTGGGTGGTGGGCACACAGTGTAATGTACAGATCAGTTATCATAAAAATGTACATTTGAAACTTATAAGATCTTATTAACCAATGTCACTTCAATAAATTTAATTTTAAAAGCATGAAACAACAACAACAAAGATTAGATTATGCTAATAGCTCTTTCTACATGAAATTTGTTTACTATAATACATTGTCTTGGGCACATTTTATGTTTTGTTTTTAAAGCTCATAAAATAACTTAACTGAAAAGACTAACAGAGTATCAAGCTTGATGGGCTGACAGAGGAGCTATGATTCATCATCTATTAAGTCTATAGTCTGTAGCTAAAAATAAAATTTATTACAATTTCTTTGTATGGAAGAAAAAAATTATAATGTTTGGATCTATTAGGAGAAAGAAGGATTTTCTAAGGTTTGAAGCTATAAGAATAACAAAAAAGACGTATCACTCTTCCATTTTCTGCCATGTCCAAAGTCAATATTTTTTTAAATGCCATGATAATCCATGGGAAACCATTAAAAATATTCCTACAGTTGTGCACTAGCCCCACATATATTACCTATTATATAGTGATTTTACCAAAAAATTGCAAAGAGAGATTTATCCTTTTATTAGATCAGGTCATTAGAGAGCTGCCCTCATTGGTGATTTAAATATAATCTTGCCTGGAGTAAATAGAGGAACTAAATCACCTCTGGAAGTGTCTTTGAGTAATATAATTCTATGGCAACTTCCAACACCTGAAGAGTAAGCACATTCATAGTGCAATAATCAGCATTTATAGCCGAAAGGAATTGTAGAAGTCATCTATCTAGTTCAGGGTTCAGCAAACTACTGCCAACTTCCTGGTTTTATAAATCAAATTTTATTATAAAATAGCCACTCTCGTGCTCATTCACTCATTCACTTAAACATTGTCTATGGCTGTATTCACTCTACAGTGGCAGTGCTGAATAAGTATAACTGCGACTATAGAGCTCACAGAGCAAAAAATATACTGTCTAGCCTTTACAGAAAAAAAAGGAAAAAAATATTGACCCTGTTCAAGTTCATCCACTTCATTTTACAATAAAGAAGGTGAAGCTCTGCAAAAAAAAAAAAAAAAAAAAAAAAAAAAGAAGAAGAAGAATTCACCCATGATTACAGTGAGTAAAAATTACTTATATTCAGGTCTTCTGTTTCTAGACTTGGTGAAGGTCTCATTACATCATCCTGCCACTTGTGTTATCAGAGAATGTGAGTGAAATTCTATAGTATTATCTATATATATAAAAGACTAATATGCTAAGTGTCCCACAGGCCAACCATCCAACTGGTTGCTATGATGCACACTGACCAACATGGGGAAGACGCTCAACACAGGAGCTGCTGAGCTGTAGTGACTTGGCAGTGGTGGTTCTTGGTTGATTCACCCTGAAACCAGAGAGGAGGGGGTTGGATTTCTTGTGGGGCCACATGATTCCACCTTCGGCCATGGGTTATGTTATTGCTGGGGCATTGTTGGCCCGAATCTGGTTTACTACACACTTGCATTTGCATTCCACACCCTATATATGACAGCAACTTTGCAGAGTGCCCTCTCATATTCTAGGATCCCTCGGGGATGTTGGAGAGCTGGTTTTGGCCCAATTCCTATAGGCCAGGCTGAGGGACCCCATCTGCTGAAGGGATGCTAGGGGGTAAGGAGTTATAGGAGATTGGCTCCAGGGCATGTCCAGGCCATCTTGCCCAGTCTTGCCCCACCAGCCACCTTCTAATTAATTTCCTTTCAATGTGTACAAATCTGTGCACCAAGTCATTAGTTGATATAAAATAATCGCTTATAAACAGAATTTCCAATGAAAGCAATTGCAACCCTCTGTCCACACAGCTCATTTTACATGGAATAAGAAAAAAAAAATTAAAGACAGATAACCAAAACAACACCATACCTCTAGTTCATAGTTGCGTTTCTACATAAGGAAAACAATGTGATAGGAACAGAGGACTCAGATTATTGAGTTCCCATGGTCAATCAAGGTTTTATTTTTTCTAATTTACTGAAAAATTTTGCCCACTACTAATATCCACATGACATTCCCAGTGAGGACACCATGAAGTAAAATACCTGCCTGTATCTTTAGGAAATGGATAGACTTGAGGTAGAGGTGAGTTTGGGCTTGGTGTTAGGGTTGAGCAGGTGGCAGACAAATTACCTTGAATTAAATTTACCAGAATGTCTTACTTCACACCATCTGCTGGTTTACAATGAACTATATGTGACAGTTAAAGCACCATGTGCTCACCTCACATCATTAGAATGGCTGTCATCAAGAAGAGATAGCCCTAGCTGGTTTGGCTCAGTGGATAGGGCGTTGGCCTACAGTCAAAGATACATGCCCAGGTTGCAGGCTTGAACCCTTACCCCAACAGGGGGTGTGTAAGAGGTAGCTAATTAATGATTCTCTCTTACCCTTGATGTTCCTATCTTTCTTTCCCTTGCCCTCCCTCTCTTAAGTCTATATATATATATATATATTTAAAGTAGACAAAAGGTAAAACATGCTGGTGAGTATGTGCAGAAAAAAAATGGGGTGCACTGTTGGTAGAACTGTCAACTGGAGGAGCCACCATGGAAAACAGTATGGAGAATCCTCAAAAATTTTAAAACAGAATTATATGATCTCATAATTTCATGTCTGAAAATAACAAAAGGAAATCAAAGCACAAATTCAAAAAGATATCTGTCTCCATATAGTCAAGACACACACACACACACACACACACACACACACAGTCCCCAAAAATATATGCACACCTTAACAGCTGGTAGTTCACTTAATGTTCACTCCTTTTCAGGTTTAATTGATTTGAAATAATGGGTGAAGCCAGACAAAGCTTTGAACAAAGAAAATTTATCCTAAAATGCCACTAGGCTTTTTTATGGGGATACACAAAAGATTAAATTTATGGTACAAAACCTTTAATCGACTAATGGAAGGCACACAATACCAAACAAAATGAGTCTTGATTGAAATTCCATTGCTTCATGTTATCAGCAGTGCCTGGACTAGAGTGGTCATCAATTTGAAAACAGGTATTGACAAAAATAATTATTCATTTCTATAGATTTTTCTAAATTTTGAAAATGAACTGTATGTTAATAAACACTGAATTTATAATCACTCAAAGTGCATATACATTTTTGGTATGCCCTGTATATAGAGATGAATGGATAAAGAAGATATGCATATATCTTATTTACTCTTTCACATATATGAACATTTAGGTTGTTCCCAAATGCTGCTATAGAAACAGACACCTTTTTCAATTAATATTTTCATTTCCTTTGGATACATTTCCAGAAATAGAATTCTTAAGTCATATATAGGAATAGTATTCAGCAATAAAAAATAAGAAACTCCTATGATTTGCAATAGCATAGATGAACTCTGAAAGCATTATGCTAAGTGAAACAAGCCAGAGAAAGGTACAAATGTCCAGTGATAAGGTAAATAAGTTCTAGAGATGCTAGGGGTGCAACGTACAACATGATGACTACAGTTAACACTGCTGCCTGAATCACAGGAAAGTTCGTAGGAGAGTCAATCCTAAGAGTTCTTATCATAAGATTTCCTTATCTTAATATTGTATCTCTGAAATGATGAGTGTTAGCTGAACCTCCTGAGATAATCATTTCACAATATACGTAAAGCAAACAATGTTTTCCTTAAACTCCTACAGTGACATGTTAGTTATTTCTCCATAAAACTGAAAAGGCACTATATAAAAGCTTACATCTCTTTTCACTTCTAACTATGAGATGAATATGTTCATTATCTTGATTGTGGTGATTGTATGTAAATCATAGCTGAATTAAAAAAAAAAGAAACAAAAACAAAAATCACAGGATTCATACTGTTCATCAAGAGATGAAAAGAAATGGAGAGCAGCCATTTAAGTCACATTTTTTATGCTGAGATCAAGCTAGTGCATGACAAATCAAAATAAGGAACCATCACCAGGAAGAAAGAGCTCACATTTTCCTGTTGGATTAAATCTTTGGTTACTATTATGGGCTTAATTCCAAATAAACCAAGTGACCTTTACTTCATATTGTGCAGTGATAAACATTTCAATGCATCTGATTGGAATCAGATGAAAAAAACAGATTACCAAACCAAATGCTGTTGACATCCAGTATCATGTAATCATATGAAACTTACACTAATGATTCTAGTTAAGCACAGAAAAGGTCAGTTCAAAGATACTTATTGAAGCAGATTCTGTGCAAATGCAAAAATATAGAAACATGAAAAGGACAATATAATAAATACAGAATAAAGATCAAATAGGTCTAGAGCACATTTTTCCCAGTTTAGAGTTCAATGAAACTATTTTCTTTCAAGAATCTGACCTTAGTTTTATTTAGGATATCAAAGAAATAGGTCTTACAAAAATATTTAACTTCACAAAAATCCTAGAGTTGATGTCCTTTATATTTCTAGAATGATATAGTCTCCTAGAGAAGGGAATAACATATGCTTAGTTAGGCTTCAACTTGTATGCTAAGAGAAAGAGTAAAGCTTTTTTGGCAATTTCCTAATTTGTCAACTTCTGTATTTCTCTATTTGCTCGCAAGGGGTTAATGTCAATTAAGGAGGAGGAACTTGAGCCTGGCCAGAGCGGCTCAGTGGTTGAGCACTGACCTATGAACCAGGAGGTCACAATTCTACTCTGGTCAAAGGCACACAGCCCAGTTGTGGGCTCAATCCCCAGTATGGGGAGCGCAGTGATTCTCTCTCATTGTTGGTGTTTCTATCTCTCTTTCTCTCTCCCTCTCCCTTCCTCTCTGAAATGAATAAAAATATTAAAAAGAAGGCACTTGAGCTGCTCTTAGAATCATCTTTTATTTTTTTTTATTATTAAAATGTATTTTTAATTGATTTTAGAGAAGAAGGGAGAGGGAGAGAGAGAGAAACATTAATGAGGAGAGAGAATCATTGATCAACTGCCTCCTGCATGCCCCATATTGGGGAATCAGCCTGCAACCTGGGCATATGCTCTGACCCGGAACCTAACCATAACCTTCCTGGTTCACCGGCCAGGCTAGAATCATCTTTTATATATCACAATCACTGTAAGATACCAAGGGATTTAGTGGCATGTAATTCTTCAATATGTACAATAAATGAAGGGAACAATTTATATTTCATGTATCTTCAATTAAAGTATGATCAAAGGAAGAAGGCAGGTTGTATTATTGAAGTTACAAATGACATCTAAGACCCATCCAAAGCCAGCATTTGCATTCCAGGTAAGTTTATGGCTCATTAACTCTGTTGTGTGTAACACCCCTTTAATAGTCTTACTATTCATACATTTTAAATTATGGATAAATCAATTATATGTATTTCTCAATAACTATTTTTTAAGTTATGACATAAATCATACAATGTATCTTGGGATAAATGTACTGACTACCTTTAGTTTCTTCTCAACCTTGGAGAGAGATAAAGAAAAAAATTTTTTAAGAAGTTTTAAAAATCATATCAAAATTATTTTTAAATGATCATTTCAAATATTTTAAAAATGATAGCAATTGTTAAGCTACAAGCATTCAATTTTATCTTTTTTCTGTTTTAAAGTCTAGAATAATATTTTTATGTAAACATTAAAAAAGAAACTTTAAACTCTTCTGATGCTAGAATATGACATAATAAAAATGTGAGATTAAAATATATATTTCATCATTCTGCACTCTTGAAATGTACTCTTCAGTCAACATCAGGTTGGCTTGACATATTCAAGTCTTCAAATAAGCATGACTGGGTTTGAGGAATTTCATTTGCTTAAAACTGTACAGAAGATTGAGAGTGAAAAGTTTTTTTCTCACTGTGTCTCTCTACCTAGTCATCCTCCTCCATTTTAAGCACAGCTAACAATTTTTATATCATTTTATTTATTTCCTATGCATATACACATGGGTTTTGAAGTATCATTCCCCATAGAGGAGGTAAGAACTAGGGCTCAAAGGGGAAGGAATATTTTAGATAGCACAAGGCAACATTAAATTCAATAAAGCACATTTACCGTGCATATGCGTGTGCAAACTGCTGAAATAAATTTTACAGAGGCACCTGAGGGTATGAGGATGAAGCGATTACATTGGCTCTGCCTTTAATTAGGGTGTGCTTCTGTAGCTACAAAGTCAATAGTATTGTATAACACTCAGAGTTGGTTTGCTCTGAGTGTTGTGCAATATAAGAGAATGTTCTATCAGAGAATAAAGGAGAAGAGGATTAATTCTACCTTGGTGAATTTATTTGCACTAATCATATAATTATGGAGACTGATGCCGAATAACATATTTAGAGAAGGAAAACGGCCTAGCATGCTCAAGTTTAGAGTGCATGAAAGGTTGAAAGTGTAGGTGAAGACCACATCTTGATTTTATGTAGTAGACAAAGCAGTGACATTAATCAATATCAGATGTGCATTGTAGAAAAACACACACATATCCAATAGAAAGGTGGATAGATCAAAGATGGAAAAGATAAAGGTGAGTAAAAGAGGGACTCATTGTGATCCTCCAGGCAAGTCTTAAAAAAGTGCTCATCAAAATGGAGCGACTATAGGATGGAACATTTCAAAGAGTAACTGCCTTGATTGTGTGAACTGCATTTGAGGTATGAAGTGGAAGGAAGTTGAGAGAAACTGCAATATTTCTTACTTGAGTGATTGTGTGGATGTTGAAGTTATAATTAAGAAAGGGACCACATCAAGAATATGTTTGTATATTTTCAGAAAACTACTCCAAGACCATGGGGATTCCTGCAACAGAGAGGAGTTCTCAGGTCTGCTCCAATCAGGAAGATAAGAGGAGAAACAGTCCAGAGATGGAAGACATTGACGACACTTGGCCACGCTAGCAGTCAGCAGCTGTGCGTTGTTGCAGGTTGCCCAGGACCAAACCAGAGAGGGTCAGACTTGCATTGTCACCATCTGTCCATCATCCAGATATCATTGCTGATATGTACAGATAAGGAACTATTTGACATTGAAACTGGGTCTCAGAACTGTTGGACATTGAAATTGGGACTCAAACTGTTTTTGTTATTATATGTTTATTTCTAGTCTGCAGTTGCAAGATTTTTCAAAGAAAATAAATGGGGGGAAAATAGTTATAGAGATAAAGAACCATTGAACAGACTGTTAAACTACAGCAGGAAGGCAAGGAAGGTTGGAGGGCAGGCTGTAAGAGATAAACCGAAGGACCTGTATGCATGCATATAAACATAACCAATGTATACAAGACACGGAGGTGGGGGGGAAGGTGAAGGCATATGTGGGGGGTGGGGGGAGGGGAGGGGAGGCTGGGGGGAGGTCAAGGGGGAAAAAGGGAGACACATGTACTACTATTTGTAATGCTTCAAACAGTGAAAAGGAAGGGGAGGGAAGGAGAAGGGGAGGGGAGGGGAGGGGAGGGGAGGGAGGAGGTATGGGAGGGAGGGGAGTCGGAGGGGAGGGTGAGGGAGGGAGGTGGAGGAGGCTGGACCCATAAACGCATACAAGAAAATAAACGACCCACAAGAAACACCATAACTCCCCGCACCGGCAACCTCAACTCCCCTACCCTAAGAGAAAAGAAAAGAAAAAAGAAAAGAAAGGGACCACAGAAGAAGTAACTGGTGAACAATGGTAAAGAATAATGAGCTTGGCTTTGAAAATACCAAATTTGAATTGTCTGTGGGACCCTTGTCAAAATTTTCCCAGAGCAATGTGGGGGACATTTAAGGTAATTGAATGGCAGTACTCAAAGACATTCATTTAGATATCATTTGCATATGTCTGATATAACCTAACAAGATATTTTAAATGAAAAAAGAGATCCAGGAGGTAAACACATCCACCCAGCAGGAAATGCTGAAGAGGACTGAAGAAAGAAAGGTCTTCTCAATATCACTTCCACTTCCGATGGCTCCAGAATTTCTCCAATAGTTTCTCCTGGTCTTCACTCATTGGTCTATCTGACCCACTTTCTGTCATATTCACACTGAAGTTGGACTTTAGTTTCTTTTTTCCCTAAGAGTTAGAATTTATTTTTCATATGGTGTCATAAAGCCTCCAATTCATCTCCCAACACCCCCTCATGCTCCATCCCACCCCAATCTCTTCCTCACATTGAATTGCTTGAAACCTTCACTGCATGCAAAATAAAATCTAGATTCAAACTCCTTATTGTGGCCTTTCTGACATGGCATGATCTGTCCTCTGCTTATTTCTTTCATGACATTTCAGTCCCCCTTCCTGTTTCTTCCTGATCTTGCCACACTGGGCTTCTCCTATCTCCTCCAATGTGTCATGTCCCTTTGTAGGACTTTTCCCTCCATGTGTACTCTACCTAGGATGCTATTTCCCTCTCAATCTCCTTTTCCCTTCCTCTTCCTCATCCAAGCTGACAGAGTCAGCATTCCCAGTGTTTCTCAGATATGACTTCCTTATGGCAGACTCCCCCTTACCTTCAGACCAAGTCAGAAACTTCTGTCACAGCCTCTCTTCAGTCTAACAGCCTCTATTCGATCTACAGATCAGTTCATACCCCTTCTCCAGGGTTTACATTCAACTTGTTCATTTCTTTGTTTTTGTCATGTGTTTGTTGGTTTCTCCTCACTAGAACATCTGTTCACTGAAGCAAGGATCCCCTCTGCCTTGTTTATTGCTATACGCAGAATCTAGAACAATGGCTGTCACACAGAAGTCACGGGGGGGATAAAACTGTTAAATGTGTTTGTGGGGTGATTAAGTTGTCTCTTTCCTTGACTTGACAGTTAACTGCATGGGGACATGGAAACTGATGTGTTAGTTCCTTGTTTTATGTGGAGCCCCTACACAGTGCACAGTAAAGTGATTGGGGCTCAATTAGAACTTGATGTATGGACAGCCCTCCTTCAGAATGCCCTCCTGGCCCCTGAACTACATTTCTTGGCCAGCCCCTTCATCCCCAGCTTCCCTTCCACATCTCTGGGCAGCACCCTGGGGAGGGGCACGCTGGCCCCTATCCTGGCAGCTCTTAGTTTCTGAAGATGTCCACTGGGCAAATTTTGTCCTTTTTTAAAATTCAGAATATACCCCTGACTGGCATGGTTTAGTGTTGACCTGTGAACCAGGAGCTCAGAGCTGGATTCCCAGTCAGGGAACATGCCTGGGTTGTGAGCTTGATCCCAACAGGGCACGTACAGGAGGCAGCCAACCAGTGAGTCTCCCTTATCACTGATGTTCCTATCCCTCTCTCCCTCTTCCATCCTCTCTGAAATCAATAAAAATATCTTTTAAAAATAAATTTGGAAAATCAGGGAGAAGACTGAGGTGAAGAGGGAGACAGTGAGGACCCTAACAAGTTAATCATTTTACTTCTTCACACAAATATGAAAGCAACATGTAACCCCAGCAAAAGGCTTTTGCTAATATTCCTTCAGGAAACCCATATAACCAAAGCAATTTACTGGCAGAAAAACCTTCTGGATTTCTGATTCGAACATCAAGCAGGTTTATGTTTGTAAATTTAGAAATTGGTCTTACATATTTTTTTTTTCTAAATTCCATTAAGACTCAATTGTTGAAGCTGGGCTCTGGATCACCTGGTAGGAGTGGCCATTAATCCCATAAGGATTGCTTATCAGGTCCAGAAAAAATACTTTAAAGGCAATACAAGTCTCACTCGTTCTTGCATGCAAGTTTTACTATTCTATATTACATTTTCACATTGCATCTTATTTGGTGCCCCTGGGCCCTTTGGTAAAACAGAAGACTGTGGTAGTAAATGTCATGATGAAATGAAATCAGGGATTATGAAAGTTGCGAAACTTTCATTAAATATGAAATCCTGTAGTCACTACCTGAAAACCGGTGACTTTAATACTTGCTTTTCAACAGTTGATGCCAACATTAAGTATGCCCCAATATTAACAAACTGTTTGAGCATTGAATGCATTGATATTTTTATTAACTATGGTAAATTTATATTTTAAATATATTACTATGTGCTCTCAGATATAAAATAACCTCAAATGTAATATAATTCCCCATTTTATCCCAAAAAATGCTTTTGATCAACTTAAGGCATAGGCACAAAAATGAAATATCAAATGTCTATTTATAACATTAATTCTTTTAATTGCCCAGACATTTAACATCAAATATTCCAGTATGGGGTCATCCAGTAGATCTTTCTACAATGATAGAAGTGTTCTGTACTATAACATGGTAACTCCAGCCACTGTGGCTATCGGGCACTTGAAATGTGACTGAGACAACTGAGGAGTTGAATTTTTGAATTTTTATTCATTTAAATTTAAGTTGGTTCATGTGGCTAGTCATTACCATATTGGACAACATGGCTCTGGAAAATGAAAGGTTATTTTAGAAATGTTGCTCTTTTCCATTCTCAGTCAAAATCTTCACATGTCTCTTTGACAGCATATCTCCACCATCAATCATTACAGTGATGTTAGATGTATTATTTCATCTTTTCCACAGCATGGAATCTTTGACTTCTAAGTTGTTTTAAAATGCAAACAAGATTTAGAGGGGGGAAATGGTGTCTGAAAAGATAGGAACATAGAACAAGAAGAGCATGACCTTGATACTTGTGTGTAAAGTGTGATTAAAGAGAGAAGACACATAATAGGAAACCCAGACACCATTCTGTTGGAAAATAGTCCTGCTGCTCTGCTGGGATTTAGCACTTTGCTCTCCTAGGTTCTCAGGGACCAAAGGATCTGCCTGGGAATAACAGAGCCTTGCCTTCTGCCAATTATATTCAATTGTCTCTCAAAATGTTTTTTTGACAACCATATACAACACTTGCAACAGTGAAGCCATACCCCTATGAATAATTAGAAAATCTGTCTTAAATTTACCCCCCTCATTTTTGTCCAACATATTTTTTTTTTTTATTGATTTCATAGAGGAAGGAAAAGAGAGACAGAGAGAGAGAGAAAGTGAGAGGAACATCAATGATGAGAATCGTCAATCAGCTGCCCCCTGCACACCCCACAATCCGGATCAAACCTGCAACCTGGGCAGGAATCTCACAGTGACTTCCTGGTTCATAGGTCAACCACTAAACCCTGCCGGTTGGGCCCTTCCCTTCTTTTTTACCCATTGAATAAGGTTTTGTAAACCTCCAAATCTAGCAGAGTTTGAAATCATTTCAGGCAAACCTGAACTTTGTTGTTCGGAACAAAATGATTGAGAGAGACATGTTATATAAGAGAGTCCTCAAGGATGCGGATAGTCCTCTCCTCTGAAGGATAATTTCGAGGAAAAACAATACATTTGGCAACTAAGAAAAGTTACAGAAGTGAGAACTGAAGATGACTACTTTAAAAACTGTGTATTTTCTCTACAATCACATGAAATTTTTTTTCATCACCAAACCCTTTTCAAAGTTTTTCTTCTCTACTTGACAAAATAGCAGTCCATGGGGGGTGGTTTGGATTTCGTTGGGAGTGAATGCTTATTCTATCCACCACCAAGTGGCAAAATAAGAGACCAGGAAACTCCATAAACAATGAGAAAGGTGAACAGGTGCCAATCCCAGAGGTTTCTAGCATCGAAATAACAATGAGGAATTAATTATGTGATAATTTCCTACCTCTTGATATGCACCGGTAACACACTGCTGTACAGTTACTGGCAAATTTAACTAACTACTCTGGCTGGATGTCCTACAATGAGATCAAAGAACCACACTGAACTTATTGCCAAACTTTCCTTGGAACTGTCTTCCTCGCAAATAAATGAATGTTTAATAGAAGCCATTTAGTTCTGTTCTATTACTAAGAATTTGTTGAATGGGGTGAGTGAAAAGTAATCTTAATCTACCTCAATCCAGGGGAAAAAAGTCTTCATATCCATAAAATGAAATTGATGGTAACCAAAAGCACATAATTTTAGCGTGATGATGCTCTCTGAAGAAGAATGAAGGTGCTTTCAGGTGCTCTGCGTGGATATTGAGCTTAATGGGACTGATCAATCAAGAGGATAATGGCTGAATGGATATTTTTGTTGTTCTATTTTTAATGAATAAGAGGCGCTTGTATTCATTAAAATTATTTTTTTTAAAAAAGATAAATAATGAATCACTTCATATTACAGAATTTCCATATTTCTTAAGGAACTGACACTGTGTCTGCCAATAATAGCCACATATAATATTTATGAAAGGCTGGCTTTCCGTAATGAGAAATTCAACAATTACCATGGTAATAACTTGGGAGGAAAGGATGAATTATACGGTAATAAAAGCAAGTCTCCAGTGGAGATGGTGTGTGGAGCATCTGAGCTCCTGGGCTCAGGAGTGTCTCCAAGGTCCACGGGATAAAGCATGTGTCCCTCCACTGTCACTCAAATGAAAATGGCACTTGCTTTGTATCAAGTTTTATTGTTCTTTCTTATGAACTTCCAATTGTATTTTATTAATAATTTCTCAGCCAAAACCAGTTTGGCTCAGTGGATAGAGCGTCAGCCTGCGGACTGAAGGGTCCCAGGTTCGATTCCGGTCAAGGGCATGTATCTTGGTTGCAGGTACATCTCCAGTGTGGGGTGTGCAAGAGGCAGCTGATCCATGTTTCTCTCTCATCAATGTTTCGAACTCTCTATCTCTCTCCTTTCCTCTCTGTAAAAAAAAAAAAAAAAAAAAAAATCAATGAAATATATATATTTTTAAAAATAATAATAATTTCTCAGACTGCCCGGCCCATAAGGCTCAGTGGTTGAGTGTTGACCCATGAATCAGAAAGTCACTGGTTTGATTCCAAATCAGGGCACATGCTGCATTGTGGGCTTGATCATCCAGTAGGGCCCGTGCTGGAGGCAGCCAATCAATGTGTCTGTCTCTGTCCCCCTCCTTTTCTGTCTCTAAAAAGATTAAAAGCTTATTTTTTTAAAATGTTCTCAGATCCAAAGTTTACATTCTTCCCTCAACATTTCCCCGTCACCTTTTCCCTTTTTTTGGAAACCTCATACTTCTCCACCCACGTTTACCCCTTCTTTCAAATTTCCTAAGTTATCTTTCAATTATTTTATTTCTCCTCCTCCTCCTTCCTTTGACATATTTGGATACAGAAATACTTCTTTACAAATGATAACTAACACTATTGAGTAAGAAATCATCTTATTTTTATTGCTTTCTGAGACTACTTTGAAATTTAGTGCAAAACAGAACAAAACTCAAATCCTGACAGTGGAATTAAAATGTCTCTTTGGCTCAATTCTCTGCTTTCTATTATCTTTAGGATTATGACCTTTAGCCTACATATATTGTCAAAGGTTAAGTTTTCAATCTAAGTACAAAATACTGTTTACCAAAAATACCTTCAAGTTATTGAACACTGAGATGTCATAACTAAAAATACATTATTAAGATGTTGCTTTTAGGAGTATGCATGTAATTTGATTGGGCATAGACTTTTATCAAAAGTCTTTTCAGTGAAATTGAAATATCCCGTAAAGTCAGACTTTTCCCCCTATCATAGGAGAAAAAAATCATGACAAAATACCACAAAGTGAAATACAACTAAAGCATGATTATAAAATTTTATGCAGGACTAATATTTTTTAAAGAAAATTAAGTTATAATTTTGAGTACTATAGCAAATTACTTCAACTATATTGTTAGGTATGAAGAACTATACGAAGAAGAATACCATAGTTTAACATGTCTAGTTCTAAGATCTCCAAATGCAAATAAATAAGACATTTTAAAAGCATGACAATTTACCCTGTCACTGCCTACAACTCCTAACTGTGTCTACGTAAGGCCAGTAAAGACATAACAGGAGACAGAGTGGATGCAGGTGGAACAGTGTTCATAAAAGCATCTGATTCCATATTGAAGTCAGAACATATAAGATAAACTAGCAGAGGGACTACAGTGCACCTTATCTTATTCTGTACACAGAAGGTCAGAGGTCTCCACTAAATTCATTGTTTATCACCTCTGATTATTCCGTGTGGGCCACTGTGAGGGGAGCAGACTAAATTGGGGCCACTGATCCTAATCTATGTCCTTTCTGAGTCTTCAGTTCTTGCTCATGGAGTATTAAAAAATGTTTGTGTCAAAATACAGCTCGGATAAGAAGTGGATAATTCAGAATAAACATTTTGGTTTCATAATACAAAGATGATTATACTAACTGGATGCTCTTATTTTATTTGTTGACGTGGGTCCACTCTATTAGTTTTATCATGAAAGATGGCGTTAGAGTGTAACCAAGTGCATTGTATCAACTTTGACAAAGGCAATAAATTCAATAAATTAACTGTCAATAGAATAAATTCTTAAGTAAAAACAAATAAATTTTGTATTATATTTTAAATATATAGCAACTATATATATATGTGTGTGTGTGTGTGTGTGTATATATATATATATATATATTTTTTTTTTTATTTTATTTTTTTATTTTTTTTTTTAATGTACTAGGCGCCCGATACATGAAGACTCATTCTTGCACAAATCTTTGTGCATGGGGCCTTCCTTCTCCTGGCTGCTGGCACCACCTTCACTCTGGCCGGAGCCGCCTTCCCACGCTGCCCAGAGGACCAGAGCAGTTGGGGTGGTGCAGACCACATTGTCGCCATGGCAATGACATAAAAGGCCCGCCCACACCGCCACCCCATTCAGTGTCTGTGTATGCAAATTAACCTGCCATCTTTGTTGGGTTAATTTGCATACTAACTCCTGATTGGCTGGTGGGTGTCACAAAGGTACGGTCAATTGGCATGTTACTCTTTTATTAGGTAGATATCTAGTCATACACACAGGCAAATAAATGTCTAGTTAAATATGATACTGAAAAATTCTTCCATATGATGCAAAGTCCTCAGTTTATCTGACATATAGCAACATATACAAACAGAAGGCTATGTGTACATCCGTCCCACATCCATTTAACTCAAACATAAAATACATTATTTTTTCATTCCTGAGCAAAGGCTAGGAATGACAGTTCTCCACATAAAATTCATTTTCTGAGAGCAAAGGAGAAAATTAAACCTCTCATCTGTTCATTAGAATTCAAAGGGCTGCACTTTGCACTTTGTCCATTATGTGTGCTGACAGAGAGATAGAGATATAGAGGCAGATAGAGATGGAGATATATAATATGTAGTATAAAATATATGTGATAATAATCATCTATATTTACCTGAAACCATAAAATCACTCAGATATGCCCCCCATCCCGTGTGTGTACGTGTGTGTGTGTGTGTGTGTGTGTGTGTGTTTGTGTTAGGGATATTTTGTTAATTATGAATATCTTTGAACTAATCTGATTGTTGAAACCTCGATTTTTTTTTTAATCAGAAAGTAGAGAATCAGTGTTGAGGATCTTTGTACTTCATTCATTCACCTCATTTTATGGATGTGACAAATAAGATACTGGAAGGCAAATGTCTTCCGAGGGCCAAAACACTAATGAGTAGCAGAGATGGACCAGAGCCCAAGCCACTTCATCTTTGTGGAGTGGTATTTCCAACATACGGAGCTGCCTCACACATGGCATTGCACGATCCTATTAATTTTGTTGTTAATTTGGCTCTTTGAAGAACTGAAACAATTAACTAGTAGAATAAATCATTTTAATGAACATGTGATCCTAAACATTTACTCTGAAGCCCTTAGATGACAGCAATATTAAAGCAGATTAAGCATTAGGACGGGTGTGTGTATCTAAAATAATATAAACTGGTTTTTCTAACTTGAATCAAGAATTCTTTAACTCATTATAAGCAGGGAAATATTCTAGTGTTAAAATACTGTTAGGCAAGGGAATTCCATGGCTCATTTGACACCACTCTAACACAGAGGTTCGCGAACCTCGCCATCCTTGCCCCCTCACCCCACACCTCAACATCACACACATGCCTCCAAAGTCATCAAAACACAAAGTCTCCCAGATGATCCAAACATGCTATGTTTTGTCAACTTCAACCCTTAGACTGAGAACAAGATAGTAGGTACAGTACTCCTTTGAAGAACTTACATTATAAATAGAAAGAAATTGGCCATAAATAAAACATTGGTTCAATCATTTCCTCAATGGCTATGATAGACAA